CAGCTGTATTTTGATCACCCTGAAATACAATAAAGTGACATAAACATAAACGGTTAAGTTCCCATGCCTCATTTCTAATTCCTCCACCTATAACCAAACAGCGAGAACTGATAATTATTTTTGAATTGTCTACATACGGATCATTTATAGTGTCACATACTTCAAAACTCTCTGAATGTGATGTATATGTAATAAACTGAGCTGCAAAAGAAACGCAAGCTCCAATTTGTTTGAAATGTAAGTGTAACTCACCATTCCATTAAGTTGGAATTGAACTGATGGCGTACAATATAGCGTCACAAAACCATCAACAATGAACCTAAAACATGAATATTGCTCTTAGGCGACATATATTTCAATTCACACACTCACTCAGTGATTTTATTTTAGGATGATGGTTTGGATGTGGTTGATTGTCTTAGTGCTGGCCACTCATGGAGGAAATCGCCATGAAAATATACTCGTCACAACGCTTTATTTGTCATAGGTCCCTCCCGTTCATCTGGCACTTCCGACACATTTCTCACACAACATCATAATTCAAAGAAAACCATAGAAAAGAACCAGTCAGACGAGAAAATTCGGAAACTTTTGGAAGCAGTACACATCAAGAAGATACGATCCGCTCTCAACAGAGATGACGGATAGTACATTCCCAATGCCTACCATCACTTGATAAAGTAATCAATAATATTTCTTGTGTACATTATCTGTTTCAATTCAACTATGTACATCAAACCCATCTTTTGTATATACATCCACCTGGCCTCCTATAAATTCTAATTCAGACCTTGTATATCACCCTTCTGGCTTCCAATCAACTTACTCAATCTCTTCTACAAGCGTTGTACATCAACCTCATTTAATATATAAACAACTCATTCCCTATCTACTGTAATAAAAACTCATGAATATATTCTCTCAATTTGTTACTCATGTATCACTTGCTTGACAACGACATTAGAATCTATGTCGAAACGTCGCCTCCACAGAATAAAAGAAGAAAGATAGAAAGCGATATACCAAGGCGAGAAAGCGATAGAGCGAGAAAGCGATAGAGCGAGAAAGCGATAGAGCGAGAAAGCGAGAAAGCGATAGAGCGAGAAAGCGATAGAGCGAGAAAGCGATAGAGCGATAGAGCGAGAAAGCGATAGAGCGAGAAAGCGAGAAAGCGATAGAGCGAGAAAGCGATAGAGCGATAGAGCGAGAAAGCGATAGAGCGAGAAAGCGATAGAGCGAGAAAGCGATAGAGCGAGAAAGCGATAGAGCGAGAAAGCGATATTTCCCATAATTCCGCATTACATCTTGTCTGCAGATGACTTAATCCAAATCGAGGCTTTGTCGCCATTTGCAAAATGGAAGAGATTTTGAAAGATCTGAACCTAAGTTATTTGACCACCGACTTTATTGCCAACAAGGTGAGGTTAAACAAGTCTTTACTATTGTTGTACGTATGTGTTTGAACCCGTGAATATCCAGTGTAGAAATGATCTTCAGTAACCCATGATTGTCATAAAAGGCGACTAACGGGATCGGGTGGTCAGACTCCTTCACTTGGCAGACACGTGTCATCGGTTCCCAATTGCGTAGATCGATGCTCCTGCTGTTGATTACTGGATTATCTGGTCAAAACTCGATTATCTACACATCGCCGCCATATAGCTGGAATACTGCTGAGTGCGGCGTTAAACTACAACCAACCAACGTATAGAAACAAATTACGGTTTATGCACATGAAGTAGACCTTTCACCTTTGCGAGGAAATCAGGTCTGCTTCATGTGCATTTCACAAGTCGTCTACAGCCAGTTTAAATGATGTTGTTTCTTCTCTACTAATCAGGATAATCCAGATTATATGCCTGAGTGATCAGCTCGTTAGGTCTATCAGTCTACCTTGCTTATAGACTGGTACATACAAAAAGAAATCAGTTATATATGTTTTATACATTTATTTACATACTCATAGCGTCCTGCGTCCTGCCTCCTGCTGCATATTGTTTCAATCTTCATTCAGTGTACATTTGTATTGACTTTTGACACATCAATACCTACCGCCTCTAGCAGTTGGTATAAACGTGTGACCTAGCTGGACCTCTGCCATTGCTGGGAATGATGCCATTGCTAAATTACCATTCCCTTAAGTAGTATTCCAGTGAACACTTGTCATATTATTATGATTAAATGACATGAGTCATTTTGAACACGGTTCAATGTAGGTGACAAGTGACATTTTGAACACAGTTCAATGTAGTTATGATCAGTAGTCACTGAGTTAATTAGTCAGTTAAGAAACCTCATCATTAAGCCACTAAATAAACACCAATTAATTACAAGACCAGATCGGTGAACATCAAAGGAGAAACAAGGTCTGTTTCATGTGCATAGTTTCAAACCTAAAGGTCTGCTCCGTGTGCAGACACCACAAATTACACATGCTTTCAAAATTCAATGGTATTTTTGTAAATAACGCATTACCTCGCATTAAGTTAATTGTCCAAACAATAACCCAACTACAACTGCAGGCACGAAATGTGTTCGTTTACTTTTAAAAGGTCTGTTAACGGGATAAAACACATTACTGTTACATGAGCAAATATGTTTAGGTATTTTATGGATCATTTTTTCTACTGGGATAAATTGACACATTTGCCATAAGCACGACTATAAAGACATGAGATAACACCACAGGACCCCAAACAATCAGCACCTTCACTACTCCCCATATCCCATCTTTCAAGTTCAAATGGTGCTAATTTTATCTACGGTGTAGATATGTGTGACAAAAATGGAATTATAATTATTAATAGAGGAATAACGCACTATAACCTAAACCACCAGCAACATGCGAAACGCTCCTATTGATAGGAGTGTGTTTAAAACAATACACAAAGAAATAGAAAACACACAGTTAAGAATCAAAAATAGAATATCCATATATATGAAAATAAAAGTAGGTATTCAGAGCGGATAGTTTATAGATTGAAAATAATTATAAGTTTACACGGGCAACAGTGAAGTTGGACGTAACAGGGCGGGGAAGTCGGCCCAGGAGAAATAAACCAGCCCAAGTTAGCGTATAATTTATTTATGGTAAACTGTGTAAAGTATATTGAGGCTTATTATATACCAAGAACAGTTCAGCTGTTGCTGATAAAAAGATAAGGAGCCTGCTAAATAAAAAAAGGTTAAACTTCAGGCTAAATGTTTGGCTTCCCAGGCAGGGTACAGTATTTATGGTGAGGTTGTGAAACGTGCGTTGAGTGACCTTGGCATTGAGAGAGAGTCTGGATAATTGACTGACTGAGTTTAATTTTACGCCGCTTTTAGCAATATTCCAGCAATATCACGGCGGGGGACACCAGAAATGGGCTTAACACATTGTGCCCATGTGGGGAATCGAACCCGGACCTTCGGCGTGACGAGCCAACGCTTTAACCAATAGGCTACCCCACCGCCCCCTCTGAATAATTGAGGTTATACTGTAATGTGTAGCTGTAATGGTTGTTTATAACTCGCAAACGTCGAATATCACATCCGCGCATAGAATTTGTATCCCGATCTGATATGAAAAATGAATGATGTTTATAAAATTAATGTGGTGGTAATTTATGTGTAGACTCACGTTCAGTTTCTGAATATATATAAAATTAATTAAAAAAATTCAATTAAACTGAAAAGGAGTCCCAGTGAAATGGAATATTCAGAGCCTAGTGAAATCTACACTTGCTTCATTAAGGAATTTAGCATCGTATAAGGGGCAGGGTGGAATTGAAAATGATGTGGTTCAGGGATAGGACATGTTAAGGAATTTAGCATCGTAGAAAGGGCCGGGCGGGTGGGATTTAAGGAGGTCCTGTTCTGCACAGTCTAATGTATGTGTTGTATAATGTTGTTTAATTGGATATGTAGGTGGGTGAGGTCAGGGGATGTATTTAGAGGTACCAGTCTTTGTGGCTATTTTGAGGGCTTTGTAATATAGCGAGTTTAGTTTATCATTATCGATCATTAGAATGGAGGACGGGAGAAGCGCACCCCTGTGTGCACAGCCTAAATGTTTTGTAGATATGTTGGAGGGTTTGTTTGTCTGCATCCCAGTGAGTGCCACGTTTTGCTCTCATAAGATTTAAATCGTTGCAACATTAGCTCACCAAATTATGAACATAACCAATACAGGTAAATAATTCCATATATCTAACGGGTTTCAAGTCATTAAAATGGAAACGAAAAGGATACACACTAGAAAAGATATTTTAACACGCTGTCACCAATCAGCTTTTTCAAAACCTACGTGGAAATGTGTAGCTGTAGCCTGTGAGGTGTACATATATTCTGTACATAATTGCATCGTTTAAAGATAGGTTAATCCGTATTTTAAAGTACTGTTGCAGTCACAATTCTCAAACGAAAAGCTTCACGCTGTATGTCTGACTATGAAATGTCTTGTAGCATGTGGGGCGGTGGGGTAGCCTAGTGGTTAAAGCGTTGGCTCGTCACGCCGAAGACCCGGGTTCGATTCCCCACATGGGCACAATGTGTTAAGCCAATTTCTGGTGTCCCCCGCCGTGATATTGCTGGAATATTGCTAAAAGCGGCGTAAAACTAAACTCAGTCAGTCAGTCAGTCTTGTAGCATGTATTTTTAATCATGCTAGGTATGATACATATCAAACTGTTGTTACTAACGTATTGATATGACGTGGTCACGTCACTTTATCCAAGATGTATAGTCAAATGCGTTTAACTAACTTCTGTCATAACAAACTAAACTTAAGAAAAGCAACATTTATGGATATCAACTTCTTTATTGTGAATAACACGACGTTTCGGAGTGTATGCTTACTCCTTCATCAGGTGAATGGTAGGGAGTATGAGAGGGTCTATATATATGAGGCACTATAAAGATGTATATATCCCCCTCATACTCCCTACCATTCACCTACTGATGTAGTAAGCATACACTTCGAAACGTCGTGTTATTCACAATAAAGAAGTTGGCATCCATAAATCTTGCTTTTCTTGAGCATTCCACTTCTAAATGCCCTTCAAATATTTGAAACTAAACTTAGCTTTTCCTTTTAGTTATTACAAAAGTAGTTAACTGCATGTAGCTTGCACCCGCCTCATCAAAAGCTTCAGATGACATATTTAAATTATATTTTGTTCAATACTTTTTTCACGCAAGGTTGGTCCTTCAGAAGTTCTTTCCTTGACGGATGAGGAGTTCAAAACACTTGGGATCGAAACCATTGGCGAAAGAGCTAAACTCAGACAACGCTGCAAAGATTTCATCTGTGGTAAAATCCTCCTTTAAAATGGCTAAAATTTGAAATGTACGGCATTAACGTTATGTCTTCTCAAAATACGTCGATTTACGAAAATAATTGAATTCAAAGTGTACACATGTAAACAATATGCACAACATATCACAGAAACTGATATACATAATATGGTATAGTTAAATAGGTAGCTTCGTATATGTTGCAAATGAATTTTTACATTCATATTCAATGTGTTATTTCATCTGCAGAATCTATACCAGAATCACCAATTGTCCAACGAGTGAAAATGTTTCAGTCAAAGAGGCGACGACAGGTATTCCTAGTATATCCTAGTATGTTCCCAGTTGTGGGGTAAATGATATGCACTCTGTGTAAGGAATGTTTTTACCACTCGAGTAACAATTTTTCATTTTTAACTGATAACTATTCTTATTCATATTCTGAATTTCTGGAGTATTGGTTCTTCGGTTATTCGGTTATTTTGAAACTTTGATAACGACAAAAGTGTCTATGTTGACACCAAGGCATGAACGAACGATGCACGTGTAATGTTTTGAAATTTTATCTATCAATCAATTTGTATGTGTTATTTTGCATTGTTGTTAGTTGTTTTCAGTTATGTCTGACCATGTATGATTCAATATCATAAAAAAGTATTACATAATACCCCAAAACTGACACTTTCAAGTTGATAATTTATTATCGAGTTTTGTTTGCATATATGTAAAGTTCACTGTTTGTTTGTAGGCATCATGGAGGGCTGACAACGGAACCTTCAGAGGTTCGAAATCAGCAACAAGGAAGATCAAATTAGGATGGAAACACCAAATCACTGGCTCGTTCAAACTGATACCTGCAAGTAAGGGAGGGGGTTCCCATGACATTGATGCCGAGAAGCACCTCTCACTGACTGAGCTGGAAAACAAAGTTTGCGAGCTGTATTTTCCAGAGGGACAGAATACAGTTCAGGACTTGCTCCTGTCAAATCTCAATGTCTATCTGGCTAATTTCAGTGGCTCAAAACTGCAGGACACCATTAATGGAGAACCCTTCACTGTAGAATTATTCTACAAAAGTAGGAAATCTCACCCAATTAGGGTGTATCTTCACACATACGACAAAAGTGAAAAGGTATATATAGTATTGACAGGGAAATGAGTAAATATTAACATTCAGTAGGGCACTTCCATCACTAGTTCTGATTTATATACCCGTTTGTTCCATGGAGTCATGTGTGTTCATCACTTGTTTGATGATTCTGAAAAACTGTCATAAATGTCATAAGTCAGCTGTTTAGTCTTTTGCCTGTTTCCTCCATTTATGCGTAATGTGTATTTCCTTCTTTCCACAGACTGTCGACGAAGCTGCTACTGATCACATCCTTGTGACACTCAATCACCCTAATGCTGATGAGCAAGAGGTATATATTCAGTTGTCCTGATAATTGTTTTGATGAAGCAAAGGGGGGGCTTGGTATCCATTGTTTCATAGGTTGATTCTAGGCAAATTGTAATGACGTAATTGTGTGACAATGATAAAGTTTGTAAAAATGAGAAAGAATCATTATTGCATCTATTTTAGGAGTATCTTAGTGTGGTGCTATTTAAGTTCTTTACTTTCCATGTTAACACATACATGTTAACATATGGCATGAAGTACAGGTATTTGTTATGTAACAGACAACAGTTACTGATGATGTAGTAAATAAATGATGATGAAAATGGTAATTGTCCTGACAAATAACAGTACTCCATCTTTGGTGTAATTTGCATTGAAAGTGTGGCAGTTATGTACAGGCTGTATGTTTACACAGAATGTCAACGGACCCACCTCAGATGACCAACATCAGATGACCAACAATCATCAACATTGTTCTGATGAACAGGTATAGTGAATTAGTCTTGGCCTATATGAATGTAGTTCTTTCAGCGCCACCACAGTGTAAAGTCAGGTGTATTTTATGTGTTGTAACGTTACGACGGCTTCAAAGTTCTAGGATAGTTATCTGTGAAATGTAATTTCACTCCACCATTAACGTTTTATATGTGGAAAGGACTTACACATACTGGTGATTAAAAATGTTATTAGTTGTAATCTTTTCAACCGTTGGCTTTTTTCATATCCTGTTAGGGTTCACAAGTCATGGACAACGACGACGAAGATGAGGAGCTGCCCGAAATATACAGTGGGACGCCAACCATTGTCTTCAATACACGCCGTCACTTGCAGGTGTTAAATGTGTACTCAAACCCCTTCTATAACAAGTACAAATATCATCTTTGATTAATTTAATTCGGGAAATACTCACCAGTGAGGCTCATGTCAGTTTACAAAATGTTTTCAATAACAGACGTGATCAAATAATACAAAATCAGTCCATGCCCGTTCAACAGAAAACTGAAACTGAAAATCACGTTACAAATACTTGTGTCATTCTTTGATTGTGTCATTATTCTTACCTGTTTGTTACAATACTTACAAACCTTATGGATAGCAACTTCTATTATTTTGTGAGTGCGCTGTTTCTATGCAGGTTCTTGCACAGTTGTAAATTAGGTATTTAGAGTAATCACACAATCAATGTAGTAAAGCGACATAATAACTACTCACTAAATAATCATATTATCCAAGATATATGTTGCTGAATGAATAATTACGTTTACAAAATGTTCTAAACATTCTTTGATTTCTGAGAATGACTTCTCTGTCTGTTTCTATTTGAGGAGGAACTCGATGATCTAACAGAACATCAACAGCACAGTAGTGCGATTGTGGTGAACATCACTGATGAAGACACAGGAGTAGACCACCTGCAGCCAGACACAATGTATGTCCTTCCTGTACATATACTCACACCCCATTTATACAGTCTATGATCACTAACAGGGACTGAAATGAATTACAAATGTATTTATTTATTTCATCGAGTATTGCTGAATACGTATGTCCATTTCCTGTAATGTTGAAATAGACTGTAGATAGGTTTCCTAAACAGCGAATGATTCTTTATCATTAGCTATAAGTATAGCTTATCTCGTAAATGTCTCTATGAACTTGCAAATAGTATATGGTATCTGATTAGAAAATACGCAGCCGATTGATCTAAAATAGATAATTTAAATGAAAATGCTACCATTTTTTGCAATGTGTATAGTTTCAAGAAATCGTTCAATAAAGAACAGTCAGCTTTATACCTCTTTATAAAGGTTAAACAGGATATGTACACCATGCTGCCAACGAGTGCGTCTATACATGAATGGATCGCATATACTTAACAATAAATGTGTCCTTTTAGTGTTGCAGACATAAGTTTGACAAACATCCTTGAAAGACTGGCAGCCAAAACTAAAGAAGGAAGATCAAACATAGTGAATGTGTCTCGGTATGCTGTTCTGCAGGGAGCCACAAGGGCGTTTAGACGACACTCATTTGATCCAAGACACCGTCTGTCAGTCAAGTTTGTGGACGAGTGTGGTATCGATGAGGGAGGGCCATCGAGGGAATTCCTCCGGCTGCTTATGATAGACATAGCTAACCTACCGATTTTTTGCGGACCGGAGAATTCAAAAATGCTCGACCTTAACTACCCAGGTAAATGCAGATGCATTTGATCATCATCAGTTCTTCTTCTTTGTTTATACTTATAGCAATCATGTGCAATGGGTCCAACTATAACACCTACTTCTATGTTTTGTAAGTGAGTGAGTGAGTTCAGATTTAAAGTCACATCGGCAATATTTCAGCCATATCGTGACTAAAACTAGTTCTAAATTCATAATACATACATATCCTATATAAAACCCTGTCAACGAAGGACAGTAAAACCACTAGATTATCACAGATTGAGTTAAAACTAGCAAGCATATATCTTTCAAAGTACAAAATTATTTTTGTACAATACAATGTAAAAATAGGCTATAGATCACCAACGACCGAAGGTAGATCACCATACTAGGGACCATGGGCACTTACAGTGCCTTTGCTACCTGCATGGACCCTAGCTGGATTTACACTATCCCCTATGTTTTGTAAGGCTTTTGAAAAGACTTCACAGACGACGTCACAGAAGATAACCGTATTTTGTCGGAAGGAAGAAAGGAAATGTGTAATGTTATCTTAACCGCATGTGCCTCTGCTATGATAAGCATATGTACATTACTAGTGTGGTGCAGTTCTCTTCCAAGAGAGCCTGTAAATAACGCCTTCAGTTGGCCATTCTTGGTAAATACACGTTTCAAATGTTTCTTCATAATCTGAATATACTGAAATACTGCTAGGAAACAAAATGAGCTAAAAGATGATTATAAATGTTATTTTATACAACGTTATATTTCAGTAATCAGCTTTGACCCCTGCGTAGATTCGGTACGTGAGGTATAATTTGCTTAGCCCATGGTGAAGGGATAATGCTTGAAATATCATCTGTTTGAGCATCGTGTGTGTGTGTCGTGTTTTCTTGCTTTCTTGGGTTGCATGCTGTAGACACGCACATTCAGGTACATTTAACAGTCGAATTCCTTTTTAAAAATGTATAATAATCTCTCCTCACTTCCTTGCATTCTCTCACACATAATAGAGTCCAAACTAATACTTACTAATACATAAACAGGTATTTTGTATGACAATGTGCACATTCACACTGCTTAAATTCAAGATGCTGAAATGTTAATTCTTGAACTTTAAAGGAATTATGTGATAAGAATGTCATAGTTGGTATACTACTCATGGAGCAGTGGCTTTTGTTGTCAAAAATTTAAACACGTAAACACGTATACCGGAGTTGATGATGATTTTGGTACCGTTTGAAAGCTTGGAATCTCTAGTTTTCCAAAACCAATGTTGCCAGACTTGAAAGTGTCAGACAACATGTCATTTTTAGGTGTTTCCACGGTAACCATGCTATTTTTCAGAGAACATGACTGCTATATATACAGGAATATATCTTCACTATGAATAGTGATTATATAATTTTCCACGCACTGCTCCACCGAACCCATTCGAAGTTTTACCTCGCATCTTTCTGAACTTCTGAGTATTGTAATAGTACAGCACCATGTGTTTCGTGTCAAGACACCTCACACACTCAGCTTTCTGACAAAATATATTTCAGACCAGCAATTGTTAGGACAGGTGGGATTGAGGAAGTTTCCATGGTTAACAAGCATGTTTAATTATATCACAGAATGCATCATAGTAATAGTAATAGTCCGCTTATATGGATCTCATTTCCAGGCACATTGCCTGCTCACGGCGATACGTACATTACTATCCCCGGTCATAGGACACTATCGTACTTTCCCATACTCCCTGGGCTTCACACAGCCATGCTGCCCGTTAGGCGCAATGAACTAAACACTCACAATGGCAGCACACCCTGACGGGTACGCATTTTACAGCTGAGTGAACTGAGACAATCATGCTTTTATGTAACTAAATTATAAGAATGATATTGTTTCAGTACTGTTTCCCTGGGAATACAAGTGCATAAATACCAGTGCATTAACACCTTCAAGGTCAAAGGCCAAGGTCACATTCATCAGTTGTGTAGCAAATTTGGGCTAAAATTCACTGTTTCCTCATATATTGTTGGTATGTCAACACAAATAACACCAACTACATTCTGAACTCATATATGAAATTAAACGTTGCCAATATAAACAGTGTCACGGAATATTTAGGGGGCGCCACCGTGGCAAATGTCACTGTAAATATTCTATATTTGAATACATCAAAGATAACATTAACATTTTGCTTTATGCATGTGTTTCAGTGATTGCTTGTGTAACATACAACTAAACTGTTTACAAACAGGTCAATGAAAATTGTTTAACTGTCAAGGTTAAGTTCAAGGTCAGATGAACATGCTTGATATTTTCAAAACACGCCAAATTCATCAATTTTGCAGTAAATTTATTTATTTTTTGCATATTTTCATACTTATTTTGGTTTGCAAACAGAAATTTTAGACACACATTATCAATTTAGATACCATATTCCGATGTTGCAAAGATATGCAAATATGGAAAATGCTGTATAGTACTACTTGAAGGGGTTGGGGAGGGAAGGAACCATTTCCATGGTAATTTATGGATAACTTTCAATGACTTTCCAAGTATTGTAATAAATCAAAGACAATCTTAAAATTTTCGTTTCTATACAGGTTTTAGTGATATATATATAGATAGATAGATACACACACACACACACACACACACACATAAGTGATTGCATACACGTACAAAGGTAAGGGTAGCATCACCAACCTTCGATTACATGTTTTGTAGAGCATACCATTGCAATATGTTAATATGTACAAAACATTGTTTTTTTAACATGTATATGTCAGTATATGTTCTTGATATTGCGATTTATCCAAAAACTGCCAGTGTCCAGATGACGTAATTAGGGAGGCGTTATAATCCACTGCCAGAAATAGGACATACGGAAATTGCACTGACCGAATTGGTACAACTACCATCACTAATTAGGACTAATTGGTCTGCGTAAAAATGGAATTGGGTTAATTAATCCTTAATTAATCCATTGCTACCTACCTGATCAATTTGCTGTGTGGGCAGGTTAATCTTTTGCCCATTTATTATGAACGCAGTGTGTTTGTATTTGGACAGCATATAGTGTACATGGTTATGAACACACTCTGTTCTGTATTTTAAGTACATTACACTGGGCGTCAGGAAATGTTTCGTTTTTGTATGTTAATCGAATTTCTTAGTCTTGTTTGTTAGAATTGTTAGTCAGTATTTTGGTCACACATAAGCATTATGATGGCATAGAGAAATGAGAGAAGGTGGCGGGTTCGATCCCCGACCGCGTCATACCAAAAGACGTTAAAATATGGTACTAATTGGTCCCTGCCTGGCGCTCGGCATTAATGAGTACAACAAGGACTAGTCGGCTCGGAGTCAGTATAATGTGTCTGAGTGGGGTATTCATGCTTTAGCCTAGTGGTTAAAGCGTTGGCTCGTCACGCCGAAGACCCGGGTTCGAATCCCCACATGGGAACAATGTGTGAAGCCCATTTCTGGTGTCCCCCTCCGTGATGTTGCTGGAATATTGCTAAAAGCGGCGTAAAACCAAACTCAGTCAGTCAGTATTCGTGCTTCATTCTGGCTCCATCCACATTATATCAGTAAATGTTTTGATTTAGTAATGTATTACTGTGGTGCTTGTGTGTCAAGAATGTATGCGTGCCTTTTCATACGTCCAAGTGTATCATAGTACAAGAGGTGCACCGGGACACCCGTGCATGTTTCAGGAGATTTCTCATTGACTGCATGCATGATTAATCGATTATATTCTTCCACTTGTAATTTGGAAAAATATGTGATTTCTTCAACATCTCGTGAACCAGTTCATTTTTCAATTTTGCCAAACATACTACTGATAACAAGTACTGTTCTGTAACTGCATTTGTGTTGCCGAATACACTTTCAGCTTTGCAAGATCGGACATACGAACTTGTTGGACAGATGATTGCATACTCTATTGTGCACGGTGGACCACTACCCAATTTCCTCCATCCACTTCTGTATGATGCCATGGTCCATGGCATAGACAGCGTTCAGCCAACAACAGACCACATTATGGACCACGAATACAGGGATCAAGTGGTGAAGGTAAGGGTGCACAACCGATCAGTGAATAGACAACCTAACTAAAAGCTAATCACACGTATTTTACTATTAGTTCAGTAAGTTTATTTCGTCTGGTATACACGGGAATACAAGTACATTAATAATCTGCTGTCTGTTATCTCGTTAAAAATATGCTCAGTGAACTAAGCGCTATTCCAAAACATTCCAAGAATATTGTAAAGTGTACATTTCAAGATTCATTCATTTCATTATTAGTTTAACAATGGAATTTAGTTACGTTGATTGAAATGATCAGTATTTGATATAAAGCACTATCGTGTAGTGAAATCTGTATGCTGTATGTAAAGTAAACAACTACGTGTGCGATTGGGCACAAACCTGTAACTTTTTTGAAAGTAAATATTGATAATAATGAATTGCATGAACTCATAATGAATAGCTTCACAAGAGAGTGAGCCATGGATTCATGTCTTTCGAGGACGCTGTTTAAATGACTCGTTCGTTTGCACATATGCAAATATCCGCTATATATTACACTGGAATGACAACGCAAGTTATCTATTTCTTCTTTTATCAGTTATCTCAGGGCGAGGATTACACGGCCTTTGAAGACCTTATTCAGATATCAGGCTGTCTGTCCATGGTCCATACGCTGAGCAGGCGACAAGAAATGTGCACGGCCATAACAAAATTCATTGTGTTCGGACGTGCACACCAAGGTTTTGAGCAGTAAGTGTAAACATCAAGTGCGTATTTATTCGAGATTTACAATGTTTCTGTTTATTTCTTATGTAAATGCTCAGGAACATCGAATACATACACTTGTGCAGAATAGACAGCACACACTGTAGCCATCCATGGACATACCTTAAACAAAAGGACAGTGACTGAATATTGTTTTACGCGGCGTTAAATAATATTCACCCACCGTCCTTATTACTAAAGTCAACAGTGCATTCACTTAACACATCTTGTATCTCGTACCAAATGTAGTGACATTGCACTGTAGTACAGATGAACACCTTGATAAGATACTGAACATTCAATTCTGTGTGTCTTAGATTCTGCAGAGGACTTGAAACCCTTGGCATATTAGGAGCGCTAAGACATCATGGACTACGCATGAAGGAAGTTTTTGTACATGAAGAAAGGCTTCTGGATTCTACAACCATCGAACTATTGTTCGAAACATATTTAGCAGAGGCCAACTCCAACCGCCGTCGCCAAGAAGAGATTGTTCTTTCCAACTGGAGAGATTTTCTTCTTGATTTGGAAGGTACAATCAATGTGATAATTGTTTTATTTAAATGAATACACCGTGCATTAGTATTTGTTACGAAGGTAGATCATATAGCTTTGGATAATGATATCATAATTTACATCAGTGATCATTTCTCAGTAAATCACAGACTCAATCCAAAGGTATCCCACAACTGATAAGGATACTCTAGTTCATGTATTTAATGCACAATGTATTTAATATATCTCATCATCAGGATCAATCATTTCGTTTCCTTTCTATTCTTAAATGCTTCAAGCATACGGAATATTGCAAACGTTTCAATAACGGTTTTAATAGGTGTTAAAAATTAATATATAACCAATGTATTCCTGAGTATACGGTAAACTACGGTTAGAACGAATGCAAACGTCAAGTACATTTAGTTCGTCATAACCGTAGTTTGTTATATACATTTCGACTATAATATAACGTATGTTGGTTTATACGTCGTGTTAGTAACAAGCGTAGTGCACTTTATGTCCATTTCAGAAGGTACGGAAGTCCCCACACTCAAAGACCTCTTGGTGTTTGTGACCGGGGCTGACGGAATCCCGCCTCTTGGATTCGACCCCTCTCCACGCCTGCTGTTTCACACGGCAGAAATTGAATCACCTGAAGACAAGAAGAATTTCCCTTTTGCAAACACATGTGCAAACAGTTTGTCGCTCCCTATGTTAGTTGACTATGAGCTTTTCAAAAAGAACATGGTCGCTGCCATACAAATCAAACTTTTTACAACTGAGTAGAACTGTGACATAAATAACAATGTACAACGAATGACTGCCCAATGTTTCTGTTGTTAATATGTTCATGTTTTGTCTTCATACCATGCATATTGACTGTGAGTCAGTTTGATTGCATCCTTTTGTTTTAGCTTGGATTAGACGTGAAGTTATTACGTCTTGTTATTAGGCAGAGTTAGACGAATGTTTGGCTGCACTATGTATTCCACTGGTGACTCAAAAGGCCATCAAGTACTGTAGGGGCCGAGCGCTGCCACACAAATCAAACTTTTTACAACTGAGTAGAACTGTGACATAAATAACAATGTACAACGAATGACTGCCCAATGTTTCTGTTGTTAATATGTTCATGTTTTGTCTTCATACCATGCATATTGACTGTGAGTCAGTTTGATTGCATCCTTTTGTTTTAGCTTGGATTAGACGTGAAGTTATTACGTCTTGTTATTAGGCAGAGTTAGACGAATGTTTGGCTGCACTATGTATTCCACTGGTGACTCAAAAGGCCATCAAGTACTGTAGGGGCCGAGCGCTGCCACACAAATCAAACTTTTTACAACTGAGTAGAACTGTGACATAAATAACAATGTACAACGAATGACTGCCCAATGTTTCTGTTAATATGTTCATGTTTTGTCTTCATACCATGCATATTGACTGTGAGTCAGTTTGATTGCATCCTTTTGTTTTAGCTTGGATTAGACGTGAAGTTATTACGTCTTGTTATTAGGCAGAGTTAGACGAATGTTTGGCTGCACTATGTATTCCACTGGTGACTCAAAAGGCCATCAAGTACTGTAGGGGCCGAGCGCTGCCACACAAATCAAACTTTTTACAACTGAGTAGAACTGTGACATAAATAACAATGTACAACGAATGACTGCCCAATGTTTCTGTTGTTAATATGTTCATGTTTTGTCTTCATACCATGCATATTGACTGTGAGTCAGTTTGATTGCATCCTTTTGTTTTAGCTTGGATTAGACGTGAAGTTATTACGTCTTGTTATTAGGCAGAGTTAGACGAATGTTTGGCTGCACTATGTATTCCACTGGTGACTCAAAGGCCATCAAGTACTGTAGGGGCCGAGCGCTGCCACACAAATCAAACTTTTACAACTGAGTAGAACTGTGACATAAATAACAATGTACAACGAATGACTGCCCAATGTTTCTGTTAATATGTTCATGTTTTGTCTTCATACCATGCATATTGACTGTGAGTCAGTTTGATTGCATCCTTTTGTTTTAGCTTGGATTAGACGTGAAGTTATTACGTCTTGTTATTAGGCAGAGTTAGACGAATGTTTGGCTGCACTATGTATTCCACTGGTGACTCAAAAGGCCATCAAGTACTGTAGGGGTAAAGCGGAGCAGAAAATCAAACTTTTTACAACTGTGGAACTTGTTAAACGGCTTCAACGTATGACAACGAATGACTGCCCAATGTTTCTGTTGTTAATATGCACATCAACAACGTACAGTGAGATACAGGCGGGTGTTGATGGTCCTCCAGGCTCACCATCTACATTCTTAACAGTTAGGGCTCTCAAGGAACACGACTTGTTTTACTCTTTGTTTATCATAATGATCATACACCGCAGTGCTGCTTCTTATGCTTGTTGTGGTCTTCGTCGTATTGGTGGGTCCAAGCTAAAACATGAAAGATTTCCTACTAATTTCACTGTATTTACACCCAGAAGTTACAGAATGAATCTTACTAAGCACAATAAAGTATACTCGGATTTGGATAAAATACATTTCCTTTGGCTTTAGTTGGGACAAACATACATTACCCATGCTCATGTAATGGCACGTGTTTAAGTTAGAAAAAACATGTTAATAACTTCATGACAGGTTCTTACATTGTTTCTGCAAGAATAAAAACATCCCAAACACCAACACAAATTCATATTCGTCCAAAAACAAACAAACATGGGGATACTGTTCACAAATAACAGTCAAAAGAAACACAGGTAACACCGTTTTAGGCTAAGCCTTGTTCCTTACCTTGATATAACTGCACATTTTCAGACTTACATTTAAGTATATTATATAACTGTAACATATACATATGTTGCTTACTGCATGAAATTATGCTTACAAAATTTGTAAACACACAAAAATTGGGTACTTCATTTCATCCATCGCCGCTCTCACCCTTAGAGTTACCTCCCTTCTGCTGGGCATAAAAATGTGGATGGCAATTGAGTCTTTCGGTTACACGTATTATTTCAAACTTTGACAATCGAGTTACATTTGCATTTCTTTTGCTGTTCATTTATAAGCTACTGTATCATGTGACATGAAAGATAAATCCAAATGACTAGAAATCATGATCAGACAACTTTTATATTATTAAGTTGATAATACGGGAAGTGCAAGGTGTGGTGATGGTACTGGATAGGATGATGCATGCAACTTTGTGAGATTGGATGAAGTTATTGAGTGTGGTATGGTGTATGTAAGTGATCGATTATACAGTATCAGACTGTTTTAGTGCTAGCCACCTATGATGGAAGTGACCATGAAAAGATAAGCATTTTTACACACTGCCTCCTACCATTCATTTCAGCGCATTGATTACACAATATCATAATTTAATTGGTTGGTAACAGTAAGTTAATTAACAGGCACTTCGAATACAGTCGTTAAAACATATGTAATCCCATTAGTAACTTCAAAAATAAAATATCCGTTATTTCACGATACAACTATTGCATGCATATAATTAGCATGCTAAAGGATCACACGTGTGTTGGATATTCTCTAAAGGTCAACCCATACAAAACCACTCCTGGACAAGAACAGCTTTATTCAGAAACTGCGAACGTTTTAACATTCATTCGAGCATGGTGACGAGCCATGCAAATAGGTCCATGGCATCCGGTGGTTCACTGGGCTTTGTCTTGCCGTTGTGTTGAAGAAGCGTTTCACGCACCCTCAAAGTCTGCTTCACACCCAGAAGGACGAGACGCTCTGCACATCATTTTCAATGAATGAATATCTGGTGGATCTACTTCTGTCTTGTAATCTACAGTTCCTGTTTTTCAAAATGGCATTCAATAGACATTGTGATTAATATTGCAACACGTATCTTATTCGGTTACACACTCATTCAATTATGCAATTGCTTAGAATTACCTGCAGAGAGGTATACGTTCATTAGCAAACGTGACTGCCAAAGCATTAAAGAACTGACTTTCAATGTGTGGATTTATTGGAGTATTTATCTTAATATAGTGCTGCCCAAGCTATATGAACATCGGAACTAATACGACCTAATACATTGTACTAGTGTTTTCTCTGCCAACCTTCGGACTCGATTCTTATATTTTCTTCATTCAAACTATATATTTGATGCTAACGTAACACATACTTGTAATGTGCATGCACTGAACTTTGAAACAAGTTGCATACACTTTAGAAAACCTATGGTATCAAAACAAAACTCTTATACCTATTAAAAAGCGTGAAAACTAACACTAATATACATACCATGTGTCGCCGGCAGAAAATACAGAATATCAGGCTTTCCGCTTGAGTTTTCCGCTGTGCGTCTTACTGTGTGTTGATTCCACTCTGTTGCAATTTTGTCCAGTTCACACTGAATAAGCTCAGTGAAGCAGAACCTGAGGCATTCTCTGTCAAAGGAAAGAGGATATATTATGCCTTCTCTCATATTAGTAGTTGCGCAGCGAAGAGCGCAAGTGTTTCTTTGTTTTACATCGGCATGAGATAAGCAGTGTGATTCACATGGAAATGCACATATGCATCAACTTTCCGTGAAATTGACGTTTACTTGATTGATTAAAATTTGGTCTTAAGCGCAAACTACTGCTTTGCAACCCAGTAATACCACGAGACAATTTAACCTCTACATTCTGCAATTTTTCATAATGGACCAGTGGCCGTAAAATTACAGTTTCATCATAAAACATTATCCACACTGTGACGTGATAGGTGGTTCACTTCACTGATATGTACCATGTTTACTTCATCTTCTGTGAGCATTAAAAGTGAAAGTAACAACTGAACACTTTACTTAACTGTCTTTTACACACGAGTAGCTAACTGTTTAGTCATTATATACAATATTACTTTCATATTATTAACATACTTTTTAATACGTAAGTTATATGAAAATACAAATATTTACATAAACATACATGTGAAGCGTGTTGTCTGTTGACACTATACCCTGCGATTCCATGTCCTTGAAGAGATTTATCCAAAAATCACCTCCACCTTGTCGCATGGACAGCCACCATCTTTCTATTCTCTGTAAAAATATAGAAAAATATAAATCGGGAATCTGATGTGAAATAATAATGACAAATTTACCCAAAATTATTTATCATGCTTCAAAGCTCAAATTTGATGAATGCATGCATGCTTGTTGTACATTATGTATGTATGTATGTATGTATGTATGTATGTATGTATGTATGTATGTATGTATGTATGTATGTATGTATGTATGTATGTGTATGTATATATGTATGTATGTATGTATGTATGTGTGTGTGTGTGTGTGTGTGTGTGTGTGTGTGTGTGTGTGTGTGTGTGTGTGTGTGTGTGTCTTCAAATAGACATATTAATATTAATATTCATATACTCGCAAGGGCAGGTGCAAACTTCGGAATCTATTTTAATCAGAAGGGGAATATTTCAGGGGGATTTCTTTAGTCCTTTGCTTTTTTGTTTGTCTTTAAATCCTTTGAACTTTCTGCTCAATAAAGAGGAGGGTTACCATCCTGGACCTCCTCAGCACAGATCCCCAACACCTTTTACTCATCTCCTTTACATGGATGATATCGAGCCAAAAGGAGATACCAATTTGAAAGAGCAGGTTCTCCTTGTCGAGTGCTTTTCTAATGATATTGGCATGACATTTGGACTCGACAAATGTAATACTCTTCATATGAAACGTGGCAAGGTAACTAATGATGGCTCGGTGAAGTTACAAGGGGAGTTATTGAGCATCTTGTGGAAGATCAGGCCTACACCTATCTTGGAATGCAAGTTCGAGACAAGCTCCAGAATGCCCAGATTCAAGACAAACTTCGGGTCGAGTACAAATCTCGTTTAAAGAAAATCTGGAGCTCAGAGCTAAATGCTCGAAACAAGGTCAAAGCCACCAATACTTTTGCTGTGCCAGTCCTCTCTATTCCTTTGGAGTAGTTGATTGGACAAAACAAGACATCCAGAGTCTTGACCGCCTGACCAGAAGGATCATGTGTGATAACAGAGCCCACCATCCTCGTTCCTCTCTTAACCGTTTATACATGCCAATCAATTCTGGAGGTCGGGGTTTGATTTATGTGGAGGCTCTTCATGATAGAAGTTTATTGTGTACTTTTGCACATATTTATTTATTAGATGATCCTCTGGTGATGCATGTGAAGACTCATGATGAAAGCAAGGAATTCCTCAGCTATCTTAAGCGTGCCAAGGTTGTTGGACAGAATCTGAAATTTGAGGTAGATTTTGTTAATGGCGATGTACTGCTGGACGGTACAGCAATGGGAGTAGACCAGGTGAAGTCCTTCACCAAGTCTGCCTAGAGTCGGTCTTTTGTGGAGAAGCTTTCTGAGAAGCCATTGCATCGTGTGTACATGCAGTGTGTTGAACAGAATAGCAATTCCACCGACTCCTTCGCCTGGATGAAGTCGGCTGGTCTTAAATATGAAAATGAGGGCTTCCTTTTTGCTGCTCAGGACCAGTCACTCCCCACTCGCAATCGCCTGGATGTGATTCTTAAACAAAATATCAATATGAAATGTCGACTTTGCAATGAATTCACGGAGACTGTCCAACACCTTGTCAGTGGATACCCTTCCTTGGCACAAACAGCATATCTTAAACGACATGATGGCATGGCTCGTTGCTTTGACTCCGAGGTCCATCCATGGTAAGACCCTAAACATGTCCAGGGCGTGATGGAAAATGATGCTTTCAAACTTCTGCGGAATAGGCCCATATACAGCCTCAGAAGAATTCCTGCCAACAAACCTGATCTTGTCATTTTTGATAAAGCCAATGAATTTATTTATGTCATTGAATTTTCTGTCCCGTTTGACACCAGTGTGATTGGCAAGATTAAGGAAAAGCATGATAAATATGCGGACCTCGCCTTTGAAATGTCTCGCTTGCATCCTAAGTACACTGTCGTCAGGCTCCCCATTGTTCTCGGTGCCCTTGGTTTGGTACCTGCTGATCTCTTGGCGCAGATCAGGAGAGTGCCCGGATTCTCCACCGGGAGCACAACCCTTCTGACACTCTGGATAATGCAGAAGGCTGCAGTGTTGGGGAGCCTTCATATTCTCCGGAAAGTTCTTGGTGGGTTCGACTAGGCAGCGTTTCCTGGGAGAAGTCCCATTCGCTGTCTGGGCTGCGTGTAGAGGGGGCAAGGGCCCTGAGCTGATGATGAGCCTTACCAGCATGACTGTGCGAGGATCACCCGAACCCTCTCTGCTGCATACTATCTTTAATCTGTAAAACATAATTAATAGGAAATATAGCCAATGGGAAGAAATATTGTGGCTATGAAACGTTTGTGAACGAAAATATCGTAAACAAGCTATAAAGACGAAATGCAGTTTTAATCTACGTACACAATGCACATTGTAATATCTTTAATGGTTGACAGCTTACAAATGTTCTTGTACCATGTTGTAGAATCCATGGATAAATGTATGTGCTCAAGCGTGTTGTTTTGTTTCTGACATTTGGTTGTTTTTTTTGCTGAATGTTACTTCTCCAATATAGACATTTAGTTAACGATTATCGATGTATATAGACAGACAGCCCTAATTAGAACAAAGACATGTGTTGAAGACAAACATCATATGGAACAAGTGAAACATGACACAAAACCAAATCCGATCGTTTGCACGTGCTGCAAATAGTAGCGCCAAACACTGACCTAAGGTTCTATTCTCTATTTTGACACTTTCAAGGAAGATCGACTTATGTCTGTGGTGCAATTATTCAATCCGTTTATCATAGAACTATGCTATATTTTATTTCATTCATTGTTTCGTCATAAACTGTCTATTTAACTATCGTGTGCACTCGTATACGGGCTGTGTAATGTTTCAAACTGTCAGCGTACAGTACACTGTGTGTCGGTATGTCATCAGCAGACTCTAACATGTACCAAGAAATTCAGAATATGGCCCTTCGATTCCGTTCATGGCGTCAAAAGTCACTAGCAATAGAGCTCAAAAGGCGAATGCTATGGATTCAAAATTGTAATCATTTAATGAAATACGAGTTCCTTGTCAAGTGATCAGAAATGATGTACAAGCATCATGTTTTGCGCAATGCCCACCTCCAGCAGCCTCAGAATGTCACGAGGGCGACACGCCCAGATATTTCCCCTTCTGAACACATTTGGGACATGATCGGGAGAGTGCGTTAACGCACATAGACCGTTCTTACAGTTCGGGGACATTTTAAAATATTCCCTAGAAGCTTCTACTTACTTTAGAGCGAATGTTTGGTTTATATACTTTGGCATACCTGTGACCGGTGCGTGCAACAAAGCATGAACGTACGGATTATATTGCTATTATCATCCCTACTAGATGTACAAACGTATATACGTTGATTAATTAACAATTCACTGACTTGAGATAACGAAAAAGTATCAGAGGCAAGTGGACTGCTATCCTAGCTACATACTCAATGAAGTTCTTTTATGCTCAGACAAAATACTCTTGTCTTGTTTTGAAGGAATATGTTTCCAATTTGTGAAGACTGAAAATGCTTAAATGATCCTATGTAATTACTTTAAATGAGTTTAAACTGACCTGATTTCGGTGCGAACTCCCATACATAAAACTGTTTTCTGCAGCCATGTCATCAGTGTGCTCCCACCTCATAGCTTTTTGGAGATCCTCAATAAAGACATTTTCACTGCCTCGGTCAGCTCTTATGCATCGTGGAACGCCTATTCGTAAACAAAAAAAACAATCAATAGATAATATCAAGTATTTGCAAAGTACGCAGAAAGAAAACACGTATAAATAAATAAAGGAATATTCACATACCTCCAATACTTTCAACATATTCCATGAAGAAACGGGCGACAGTGTATGGGTGGTTGTTGCTCCTCCCCACTTTTAGCCATAGTATTCTTCTCGAATAGCTGAAAATAACACCTTCTTGAAACACTGCATCCTTAAGTTTGTGTTACTTTAGAATTAAATATATTTTTTATTGACTCTTGTCGGTGCATACGTGAGTTAGTATGGGTTTGCGCCGCTTTTAGCAATATTACAGTATGTCACGGCGGAGGACACCAGAAATGGGCTTCACACATTGTACCCATGTGGGAAATAGAACACGGGTCGTCAGCGTGACGAGAGCACACCTTAACCATTGGGCTATCTAACCGCACCGTTAGTGCATAAGCATTAACAGTATAAAGCATTGGAAATCACTTTATAGATTCTGGTAACGTTTCTTTTTTACTTTGAACATGTAAGTAATTAAGACAAGAATTCTGAACAGAGACTTAAACCAAACCATGGACCAAACACTTATTAATGGCAACCATTCACCATTTAATCAAATTTGTAAACAAAACAAATACAACTGAAATACGGAGTGGGCCGTAACTATAAACGCATATCACACAGTACTTCTGAAAATTAACGTGCGTGAACACATACATAATAGAGACTGTAGGAAGACAACTGTTTCCCTGAATATTTAGGATGTTCGCCATGATTGTTTGTGATTATATTATTGTAGAAAGTTAAATGGAATATATATTTATTCTTCCAATGACTTGAATTCACCCTTTGTAAACTTTTCTCCTATTTCTAATGAAAATAAAACAGGGTTCAAATAAACAATACTGCATCATTCAGAACAATGTTTGGTTTAAAACTCACCCACATATTGCACCATGGATAGCAAACCCAAATGGTTTCAGTTTGTCGTAGCCATCGATGTGTATGAGATAATTTGGCCCTTTGTTGTGATATAAACGCCGTGTAAAGCGGCGAGATCTTCGAACTGCAACCCTGTCGGGGTCCATGACCCTTAAAAGCTTCATAACGTAGTCCCTAGATGATACAAGAACATAATATGATTACAACTTGCTGGGTAAAATAAAATGAATAAGTAAACATTACGTTGCTCAAAATGCTGGTATAGTCATAATACCCGTTACAACAACGGAGAAGATAATCACGAGAATTAAGTATGCATTTACGTTTTAATAGTCAGTAAAACGAATATTCTCTCCCTCCTCCCCTTCCCCTTATCCTTTCCTCCCTACCTACCTACCTAGGAACCCTCAAACCGTGCACATTACGCAAACGTTCCGTCATGCTCCTGTAGCCAAGACAACAACCACTTCCTTGTAACTCACTCTGAAAGATCATAAAATCACGTTTCAACTTGATGCTATTTCATGATATCGATTAATATAATTGTAGTGATTGTTCTAAATAGGCAAACATATATGATTAGGTTATGTTGTAGATACGTTACCTGAACGGCATGTATTACTCTCTGATGATCAATAACTTCCTTGTGTCGACGAAGTCCAAGTGTTCTCAGTCTTCGTTTCAGTGTTCTTACACTAAACAGACAAGATATCTCTTACAGAGTATTTTGAAATATAATACGAAAAATAGCAGGACACATTTTGGAACATTTCTTCGTTGTTCTCATGAACTGCCTTTGTGGGATATGTTTAGATTAGTGATGAACACCTGTTCACTTCGCAACAAAAGTTATCTAGATACTTTCAATTGCTTTGCTGTACAGATAAACAAAGTTTACATAGAGTGCCATGAGCAAACATTTTGTCCAAGTAGCTCTCTTACTATTAACTGCTAGCCGATTGAAATTAAAACAAAGATCAATAGATGAACTACACATACCTTATATGAATATTGTCATTGTGACAAAGAAGAGAGCATATTTCATGGTTAGTGTAGCCAGCTTGAAAATATTCCGTGATGACTTCTTTCCCTGAAAAGTAGACAATAAGGGTTCTACATACAACTATCAAATATTTATGGAAAATAGAATACAATTTGTAGCTTCTATATTCAACAACATGGAAAAAAATATATTATTGTTTATTAGTAATAATAACCACAAGACTTACCTTCTACGCGTTGGTTCATTATTGCAAATGGCGACTATGCTTCCGATTTCTAGTCAATCATGCGCATACAGGACTGATAATGAATTGTGGGTAATATCGCTTTCTCGCTCTATCGCTTTCTCGCTCTATCGCTTTCTCGCTCTATCGCTTTCTCGCTCTATCGCTTTCTCGCTCTATCGCTTTCTCGCTTTATCGCTTTCTCGCTTTCTCGCTCTATCGCTTTCTCGCTCTATCGCTTTCTCGCCTTGGTATATAAGCTTTCTACCGCTCTATCGCTTTCTCGCCTTGGTATATTTCCGCTTATCGCTTTCGCTCTATCGCTTTGCTCGCTTTCGCGTAATGGTATCGCTTTCTCGTCTCGTGCTATCGCTTTCTCGTCTCGTGTTATCGCTTTCTCGTCTCGCGTTATCGCTTTCTCGTCTCGCGCTATCGCTTTCTCGTCTCGCGTTATCGCTTTCTCGTCTCGTGCTATCGCTTTCTCGTCTCGCGTTATCGCTTTCTCGTCTCGTGATATCGCTTTCTCGCTTTCTCGCCTCCGAATTTTAAGGCGAGAAAGCGATGGCCCTAATCAGCCACCATAAATTTCACCTCACCTCACCTAAATCAAAGTGAACGAATCTGGTACTTCCTGTATTTTTCGCTGCGCATTTATTAACGGAAGTAAATTGCTAAACTATCTATAGTCAGACATGATAGTTTTTTGTTACTACCATCGTTACAGCCCTAGTATTTAGCATTATATTCATCAGTTATCAATGGGGTAGTAGAAACGGGAAAGGAGTGGGGAGGGGGTTTGTACAAAGCGTTAATGCATCAATACTTCTCCACATAAGCGGCGCATTTGCTGAACATGAGCAAACTATCTATTCCAAGCACATTCATGTCACTATGTTTGAATGCGTCACAAATACCATAAGAGAGTAAAAGCAGAACCTACAAACCTTCCACCCCAATGTGAATTACATTTTAACAATCGCTAAACGACTCAAATTGTCAACCTTTTTCTCCTACTCACATCTGTCAACAGAACTGTCAAGGTGTTGTAGGGAAGCCATTAAGCTGTTCGCCTACTGGAAATTATGTCCGACTGTATAACCATGTTTTGCTTAGCCACAGCCTTATCGGTAGAATCTTAATGGGGTCATGTGAACCTTGATGTCAAAGGCCTCATCATTTCTAAAACTAAAACAATGTACACCGTGTATTTCACACCGTCCCAATTCCTGTGATCATCGTGTTTGGGCATTCATAGTATAAACATATACCCTTTAAATATATTTCCTATATTCCCTCACAGATACCTAAGTTTCAAAAGTCTGAAAACATTTGAAAACTTACAAATTGATACATGTTTCTCCGACCAAGGCAATATCCATATTTCTAAAACTAGTAAACATAGAAAAAATAAGATTTTTTTGCGTTATGTATGAAGCAAATAGCAACCTCTAAATAGATGCGGTGAAGAATAGCAATAAAAGTGTACTTGTTTGAAACATATAGTTGGGAACAATGACATACAGGTCTTCTTGTTATATTTTGTTGCAGATGGAAGAAATACTTACAAGTCTTGGTTTAGAGGAACATCTTGCTCTTTTCGAAGCAAATAAGGTAACGTTTATAAATATGCTATGTCAAAAAAGGGCACACTGTGAATAATCAAGACATATCTTCTGATCCATAATATTGGCAAATTGAAATGATATCATCGTATCTGCTGGACAGAGGGCGATTAAATCTAAAAGGTTCTGATTGAAGGTGGCATGTCATGGTGGCACACTGGACTGTTGAAGGGCTCAGGGTCAATTTGGAAACTTGCATTTTGCAGCAAGCGTCACATATGTCGCTTAAAACCACATTTGCACTAATTCTTGGAGGCATAACTCTGGGGAGTCGCCCAGTGTCACCATGACTCATTCAATCTATCAGTGACAGTAGGATAGGGCTCACTGACAGTTGTAGCTGTTTAATTCACCTGTAATAATGACGTGTCGTGTGAAGGAAAGGTGGGGAACGAATACTGGCCATGGCACCACGTGGGTATCTTGCTGTTGAAGGAACAATCTGCACACCATGTGCAGGCGCAGTATTATCTTAAAGGATGAAACGTTGCTAAACACATTGTGCAAGTCACCACAAGAGTCAACAACTAAGTTATTCCGATATTATTGACCTGTGAGCCATAGAGCACATTTCGGTCAGCCGTTGATTTACCAAAAGAAAAGAAATATGCAGCAACAACATCCTCACATGTCTGAATGAAAGTGTCTTTGAGGCTTTAGTTTTTAAAGGAAGCACGTTTCGTCTAAGGGACAGTCACATTCACATACATTGCACAGCACTGCACAATTATGGACTGAAACAACGTAAATACTCCTAGGCACAAAGTAGAGCAATAGCATCAAAATCAGATAATATGATACACCTGGCCTTGTCACCTACACTGCATATCTCGGCCATGATGAACAACAGTGCGTGTCACCGTCCATTAGATCATGTGGTTATTACCCATACAGTTGGTCTAAGAACATGTGGGTACTGTTTCAACAGTGGGGTAAACCTTGTTTGTTTTTATGAAACTTACACAATCAGTGGCTAATTCCATTCCAACTAGATGTTTTGTAGGGGGGCAGGGGAGAACTATCACTTGAAAAATGTTAGAGTCGCATCATAAATACTGTTAAAACATTGGTTTTGAATGCTACCGTCCATGCATACAACTGTGGTCAAGCAGATAATAGTTTACAGGTCCCGCAAATGTTGCCATCCTTTTCATAATTTACATACGGTCATTTCAAGTTTGGCCATTAGTCGAACGGAAGCTCAATGATAATATCTGACATGCATGTTTGGTATTCATGCAATCACAGCATAATTCTGCCTCGCGCCTCCATGTGGTAAATTCTATAGTACAGTATTCTGTTCCATTCAGGTAGGGCCGGAGGAGGCTTTATCCTTAACCGATGAAGAATATCGTGTTCTTGGCATCCCTCTCATGGGAGATCGTGCTAGGATACGAAACCGCTGTCGGGAGTTTATAAACGGTAGGTTTCAGTCCAATTTAGAAGATGTAATGCTCATAGACGTATGTGTTTATTGTATACAATACAAAATGCACATACTTGCCTCACTATATCGGGCAGGCTGTTACTGAAATCTTCAAACTTGTCCAGGTCACGTAATCCAATCCAAAAGTGTACTTTAGAGGAATACATTCAATCTAGTGTTAAACATAGTTTATATTTCTTGTTATCTATTTGCAATGTACATGGGAATGAACTCACATTTTCACATAAACTGTGCCCTCGTATTTCATTTGTAATAATATTATAGAAAGGCCGTTAAACAGCATATTTGCAATAATTACATTCAGAAAATCATATTACAAGTTCTATTCCAGCATGTTCTGAAACTGAACAATAATGCTTCATAGCCTTAAGAACTATATTTTATTGTTTTGTATGTATTCATAGGAAGGAAACATCCAATGTGTGTGTTAAAGTATGAATGAGAAAATTGTAGTGCAAACATTATAGTGATACATTTGACACCAAACGCATCTACCGTTAACGCATTATGGCACGGGTGAAGAACGTCATATGACTACTATCAACGACAGTTGGTTTTAGTAAATGCGTCGTGATTAGTTTCAGTTATTGGTCCTACACAGGGCTGGTAAGTCTTGGTATACCTGCTCCGGCTGAGCTAATTAAGAGATGCTATTCGCTTTTCCGAAATGTGTTATTATCTCCCTTTGAAAAACAATTTACAGTTAAGTCCCCTTAGCGTCACCCCCTTCGGCCAAGTATTCTCAAGAAATATCAAAGTTTCACAGTGTGGGTTTATTATGAACCTAACCCACCCTTATCTTGTAACTAACCCTGGTGGACTTGTGATTCACTCACTGTAGCATTTGTGATAATCAAATAGGTGTATTTCAGAATAAATCACACCAGAAGATGCAACGCAATAACGGTTCTTTTGCACTCTGGTGAATAACAAATTAAAACTGAAAGAAAACCATACCTATTTTACCATGTGCAGGCACAGATGGTAAAAGAGTAAACTGTGAGTAAACGACAGTCGTGCGACTTCGTAGACTCTCAAAGGTATTTCCATAGAACGAATATTGTTTGACGAAACCAAGTTGAAGGCAAGTGGCCAAGAAATTACGATGGGAAAGGACGATAGTGTCCTATGCAGTGGGATAGTAATGAACGTAACGCCATTAGCAGACAATGTGCCTGGATATGAGCGCCATATCAGCGCACTATTACCATATTACAAGGGGGCATCTCAACGAAATTTCATGCATTTGCATGTGTGTTGAATATGCCTGATCTACTGGTATTTATTAACATCTTACGTGTGTGTCTGTCATGAAGTTTATGTTGAGATATGTAACAGTGTATGATACTTATACAAAAACTTATATCAGCTATCGCATTTAATGTCTCAATATATAGGTGCCATAAGCACCCAAAAATCCACAGGACTGGATATTATTTGTAAATTGTTATGACGTGCCGTTTACATCCCCTGTTTATTTACCATGAAGGATTATCTTATCTTAGTTGATATATGTAACCCCCAGCCCGAACCCAACGCCTGAATCACTGGAGTCAGACTCCCACGTGGAATCGGTCAGAGGTGTAACGACTGGTCTGACATCACTGACGTCGTCGCGATCACGCTATAGGCTGCCTGGATGTCCAGCACATGGTCCTCTGCCTTTTGCCATGCTTCTCATGTAATTCTTGCAAATGATGTATGGACTATATCTGTGACATCGCACATCCGAATGTACGTGTTGTTACTGGATACAAAGCCCTTAGAGTTAGCCCAAATCGGCTCAATCGTATTTAGCGCATAATATGTCACTGAAGTAAGTAAAACAACGTCACCCTTGTA